CAAAGGCAAGAAAAAAAAAAAAGCAAAACAAAACAACCATACATCTTTACAATTGACATGGGAAACAAGTTTATAAATTTCCTTGCATAGCCATCTTGGCTAAACAAGCAAAAATTATAAAAATATCCTTATCAAAAATAACACTACAAGAATGAACAGACGAGCACAAATACTTGCATTCAACCACAGCTGCAGCTCTCATATCCAATGATTCCAAATTCCCACAACACCAGATGACAGCTTACCTGTTTGTCCATTTGGCAGGTCACATTTTTTTCCATTAGTTATTGGCTGCATATTTGAGTACCCAAAGAGCAGACACAGTATATGCCTCCACTGAACTTCCAATGAAGTCCCATACCTGAAACTCCAAATCCTCAAACCTAACCTACTGTGTTTGCATGAACCCCTTTCATCATCACTCTTCTCACCTGACCTCTCACTCATCCCCTGCCGCCTAACATATAGCCTTGGTACTTCAACATTTCTCACATAAGTACACATAATCCACTCATCCATAGCCCTTTTAAATAATTCTGTTTCCAGCACTTAACAGCCCTAAACTGAAGTAAGATATGATCAATATTTTCCTCACACTCCCATAAGACCTCACATACTATATCAAATTCAATTCGTCTCTTTTTCAGTTGTACTCTTGTCCCCACAAACTCATGGCAACATTTCCCGGCATTACATCAAACACGTAATGTGCTTTTAAGAATACAACAAAACCAACATATCACTAATCAATCGCTAGTTAACAAATCCACATCCTAACATCAAATCATTATTCGTAACAATCAAATACAATAAAAGGATATGAAGCCCAAGCAAAAGATTTCACCAAAACAACCTATGTTAATAACACCACTACAAGGGTTTTGTATTATAAGCATGCCAAGAATATCCAAATATATTTCACTCTCCAAATAAAGTTACCTCAATGAATCGAGCGTGCGATTGCAATCTCTACATACAAAATTCTATCGACTAGTTACATATTGATCGTAAATCGTTCAAATATATGTTTGGGTAATAATACTGTTCTGATATTGACTCATGAGGAGAGGAAGAAGGAGTTGGTCGGTTTGGTATGTAGAAGAACAATGAGGAAGAAGATGAAGTGGAAGATTGGTTTTGTCCATTTTCTTTTCCCAAATGAAGACGACGGATTGGAATCTTAAAATATAATTTTAGGTTGTGATGAAATTGTTTTAAATTTGTGGGATTGTTATGTAATTTACAAAAGTATATGGGGGCTTGAGAATAAATAAAATAGGTACAAGGGGTACGAAGGGTATAATAGGATTTTACAAGTACGAGGGGTACGAGAGAGAGTACAAGACTACCAAAATTCTTTTTTCCCTTGTACACTTCAATCCATCGTTCATTGTCATATCTTAGTCAATCCAACGGTGAAATGGGGGGTTACCTGATGTTAGATAGGTACAACCATGACCTGTAGAAGATCCCTACTTTGATTCTAGCCATATTACACCCCATCAAATCAAACACTAGCATTAAAACAAAAAGGAAATGTAAAAATCTTATATACAGACAAACGGATCATCAATAGAAAAAGAATAGAAAAGAATGGAAAGACATAAAAACATCAAAGAAAACGAAATCCAACTTAAAAAAGAAAAGGCAAGGCTTTGAATCATCAAATCTAACAAATGGATGGAATAAAAAATAAATAAATAAATAAATAAAAAGACTCTACAGATGTGATAATCAATGAATAATGTAGGTGAGAGCCAAAGCAAGCAGCATCAACACATATGCTATTCCTTGATCTATTGCTACCCCTGCAATATTGCCAATATATATATCAATTAGTTTAGTACCAAATTATCGAACACCACTCGACTTGAGAAACAAAATCAGAAGTTACTTACCATCGCTGGAGGCCGGGGCAGGCGCTGGCCCGGCGGCACCGGCAGTCATCTGACCGTTGATTGAAGGAAGTATAAAACCCAAAACAAGACCAAACATTACCATCATCACACAATAATACAGTCTGATCTGCAGCATCTCCATTTCTCTC